CTCATCCTCTGTTGTCACCTTCTCCTCCTGCCTTCAGTCTTTCCCAGCATCAGGATCTTTTTCAAATGAGTCAGCTCTTTGCATCAGGTGGCTAAAGTATTGGAGTTTCAGCTTCAACATTAGTCCTTGCAGTGAACACCTAGTACTGATCTTTAGGATGGACTGGTTGGATCTCCTTGCAGTCCAAGGGACTCTCAAGAGTCTTCTCCAACACCACAGTTGAAAAGTATCAATTTTTCGGCACTCAGCTTTCTTTGTAGTCCAACTCTCACATCCATACATGACTACTGGAAAAATCATAGCCTTGACTAGACTGACCTTTGTTGACAAAGTAATGTCTCTGCTTTTTAATATGCTGTCTAGGTTGGTCATAACTTTCCTTCCAAGGAGTAAGCATCTTTTAATTTCATGGCTGTAGTCACCATCTGCAGAGATTTTGGAGCCCATAAAAATAAAGTCAGCCACTATTTCCACTGTTTCCCCATCTATTTGCCATGAAGTGATGGGACCAGATGCCATGATGTTAGTTTTCTGAATGTTGAGCATTAAGCTAACTTTTTTACTCTCCACTTTCACTTTCATCAAAAGGCTCTTTAGTTCTTCACTTTCTGCCGTAAGGGTGGTGTCATCTGCATATCTGAGGTTATTGATATTTGTCCTGACAATCTTGATTCCAGCTTGTGCTTCATCCAGCCCAGTGTTTTCCCATATGGGCCATTGCAAAGTATTGAGTAGACCTACCTGTGCTGTTAGTAGGTCCTTATTAGTTCTCTGTTTTATCTATAGTGGTGTGTATATGTCAATCCCAATCTTCCAATGTATCCTCCCACATTACCTCCTGGTAACAATAAGCTTATTTTTTACGTCTCTAATTCTGTTTCCATTTTGTAGGTATGTTTGCTTGTAGTCTTCTTTTATATTCCACATATAAGTGATATATATTTGTTTTCCTCTGACATACTTCCCTCAATATGGGAATCTCTAGTTCCATCCATGTTGCTGCAAATGGCATTGTTCTCTTCTTTTTTATGACTGAGTAATATTTCACTGTATGTATGTCTCCCATCATCTTTATTCATTCTTCTGTTGATGGACATTTAGATTGTTTCCATGTCCTGCCTATTGTAAGTAGTGCTGCAATGAACATTGGAGCACATGTATCTTTTTGAATTATGGATTTCTCCAGATATATGCCCAGGAGTGGGACTGTTGGATCATATGGTAGCTCTATTTTCAGTTTTTTAAGGAATCTCCATACTGTTCTCCATGGTACCAATTTATATTTCTAGCAACAGTTAGAAGTATTCCCTTTTCTCTACACCCTCTCCAGCATTTATTGTTTGTAGATTTTTTGCTGATGGCCATTCTGACTGGTATGAGGTGATACCTCATTGTAGTTTTCGTTTACACTTCTCTAATAATTAGTAATGTGGAGCATATTTTCATATTCTTTATAACCATCTGTATGTCTTCTTTGGAGAAATGTCTTCCACCCATTTTTTGGATGGGGTTGTTTGGTTTTTTTTGATACTGAGCTTCATGAACTATTTGTATATTTTGGAGATTAATCCCTTGTTGGTTCCTTCATTTGCAAATATTTTCTCCCATTCTGAGGGTTGTCTTTTTGTGTTGTTTATGGTTTACTTTGCTGTGCAAAAGCTTTTAAGCTTAATTAGGTCCCACTTGTTCATTTTTGTTTTTATTTTCATTACTCTAGGAGGTAGGTAGAAAAAGATCTTGCTGCAATTTGTGTCAGAGAGTGCTCTGTTTATGTTTTTGTCTAAAAGTTTTATAATATCTGGCCTTACATTTAGGACTTTAATCCATTTTGAGTTTATTTTTGTGTATGGTGTTAGGGTGTATTCTAATTTCATTCTTTTGCATGTAGCTGTCCAGTTTTCCCCATATCACTTGTTGAAGAGACTTTTTTCTGTATATTTTTGCCTCTTCTGTCATAATTAAGTGACCATAAATGTGTTGGTTTATCTCTGGACTTTCTATCCTGTTTTATTGAGCTCTGTTTCTGATTTTATGACAGTACCATACTGCTTTGATGATTGTAGCTTGGTAATACAGTCTTCGGTCAGGGAGCCTGATTCCTGCAGCTCTGTTTTTCTTGCTCAGGATTGCTTTGGCTATTCATAGTCTTTTGTGTTTCTATACAAATTGTAAATTTTTTTGTTCCAATTCTGTAAAAAAAATGCCATTGGTAATTTGATAGGGATTGCATTGAATCTTTAGATTGCTTTGGGTAGTATAGTCATCTTCACAATATTGATTCTTCCAGTCCAAGAACAAAGTATATCTCTCCATCTGTTTGTGTCATCCTTTATTTATTTCATCAATATCTTATAGTTTTCTCTATACAGGTCTTTTGCCTCCTTAGGTTGGTTTATTCCTAGGCATTTTATTCTTTTTGATACAATGGTATATTGCATTTTTTCCTTAATCTCTCTTTCTGATCTTTCATTGTTAGTGTGTAGGAATGCAAGAGATTTCTGCATATTAATTTTGTATCCTGCAACTTTACCAAATTCATTGATGAGTTCTATAGTTTTCTGATAGCATCTTAAGGGTTTTTTATATATAGTGTCATGTCATCTGCAAACAATGACAGTTTTACTTTTCTTTCCCCATTTGTATTTCTTTTATTTCTTTTTCTTTTCTGATTGTGGTGGCTAGAACTTCCAGAACTATGTTGAATGAAAGTGATGAGAGTGGACATCCTTGTCTTGTTCCTGATCTTAGAAAAAAACGCTTTCAGCTTTTCACCGTTGAATATGATGTTAGCTGTAGGCTTGTCATATATAGCCTTTACTATGTTGAGGTAGTTCCCTCTAACCCTACTTTATGGAGAGTTTTTATCATAAGTGGATGTTGAACTTTGTCAAAAACTTTTTCTGCATATATTAAAATGATCATCTCTTTTATTCTTCAATTTGTCACTGTGGTGTATCACATTGATTGATTTGCATATACTGAAAAATCCTTGTATCCCTGGGATAAATTCCACTTAATCATGGTGTATAATCCTTTTAATGCATTGTTGAGTTCATATTGCTAGTATTTTATTGAGGATTTTTGCATCTATGTTCATCAGTGATACTGGCCTGCAATTTTGTTTTTTTGTGTGTGATATTTTGTCTGGTTTTGGTATCAGAGTGATGGTGGCCTTGTAGAATGAGTTTGGGAGTGTTCCTTTCTCTGCAATTTTTTGAAATATTTTCAGAAGGATAGGTGTTAACTCTTCTCTAAATGTTTGATAGAGTTCACCTGTAAAGCCATCTGATTCTGGACCTTTGTTTGTTAGAAGATTTTTAATCACAGTTTCAATTTTGGTACTTGTGACTGGTCTGTTCATATTTTCTCTTTCTTCCTAGTTCAGTCATTGAAGGTTGTATCTTCCTAAAAATTTGTCCATTTCTTCTGAGTTGTCCATTTTATTGAAATATAGCTGCTTGTAATAATCTCTTATGATCCTTTGTATTTCTGTGGTGTCCACTGTAACTTCTCCATTTTCATTTTGAATCCTTTCCCTTTTTTTCCTTGATGAATCTGGCTGAAGGTTTATCAATTTTGTTTATCTTCTCAAAGAACAAGCTTTTATTTTTTAAAAAATATTTATTATTTATTTGGCTGCTGTATGTCTTAGTGGCAGCATGGGTTTTTCAGCTTTCGTTGTGGCGTAGCATACAGGATCTGTAGTTGCTACTTGCAGGATCTTTAGTTGCAGCATGCAAACTCTTAGTTGCAGCATGTGGGATCTAGTTCTCTGATCAGGGATCACAAACCTGGGCCCCTTGCATTGGGAGCTCAGAGTCTTAGCCCCTGGACCACCAGGGAAGTCCCAGAACCAGCTTTTAGTTTCATTGATCTTTGCTTTTGTTTTCTTTGTCTCAATGTCATTTATTTCTGCTCTGATCTTTATAATTTCTTTCCTCCTACTAAATTTGAGATTTTGCTTGCTTCTTGAAGTAGCGTTTTATTGCTATAAACTTTTCTCTTAAAACTGTGTTTGTTGCATCCCTTAAGTTTTGGGTTTCCTTTTATTTTTTTATTTCCTCAGTGACCCATTGATTATTTAATAACATTTTTTAGCCTCAATATGTTTGTGCTTTTTAGTTTTTTTCCTGTAATTGATTTCTAATCTCATAGCATTATGGTCAGAAAAAAATGTTTGATATGATTTTAATTTTCTTAAATTTACTGAGGCTTGATTTGTGACCCAAGATGTGATTTGTCATGGAGAATGTCCCATGTACACTTGAGAAGAAATTGTATTCTGCTTCTTTTGGATGCAGATGTCCTATAACTATCAATTAAGTCTACATGGTCTAATGTGTCATTTGTCTTGTGTTTCCTTATTAATTTTGTCTTGATGCTTTATCCATTAGTGTAAGTGGAGTGTTAAAGTCCTCCACTATTATTGTGTTACTGTCGATTTTCCCTTTTATGGCTGTTAGCCTTTGGATTATGGATTGAGATGCTCCTATATTGGGTGCATAAATATTTACAGTTGTTATATCTTCTTGGATGGATCCCTTGACCATTATGTTGTATCCTTCCTTGTGTCTTGTAATGGTCTTTAATGTCTATTTTGTTTGATATGAGCATTGCCACTCCAGATTTTTTTAAACTTCCATTTGCATGCAGTATCATTTTCCATCCCCTCACTTTTAGTATGTATGTGTCCATGGGTCTGAAGTGGGTCTCTTGTAGACAGCATATACATGGGTCTTGTTTTTGTATCCATTCAGCCAGTCTGTGTCTTTTGGTTGCAGCCTTTAATCCATTTATAGTTAAGATAATTATTGATATGTATGTATGTTTCTGTTGCCTTTTTTCTTCACTGTTTTCATTTGTTTTTGTAGTTCTTTTTCTTCTTTTGTTTCCTGCCTAGAGAAGTTCCATTAACATTTGTTGTAAAGCTGGTTTGGTGGTGCTGAATTCTGTTAGCTTTTTCTTGTCTGTAAAGGTATTTATTTCCCTGTTGAATCTGAATGAGAACTTTACTGGGTAGAATATTCTTGATTATAGGATTTCCCTTTCATCACTTTAAATATATCCTGCCACTCCCTCTGGCCTGTAGAATTTCTGCTGAAAAATCGACTGATGACCTTATGGGGATTCCACTATATATTATTTGTTGCTTTTCCCTTGCTGCTTTTAATATTTTTTCTTCATGTTTAACTTTTGTTAGTTTGATTAATATGCTTCTCTTGTGTGGGACTCTGTACTTCAGTTACTATTTCCTTTCCCATGTTAGGGAAGTTTTTGACCATAATCTCTTCAAATATTTTCTCAGACCCTTTGTCTTACTCTTCTTCTGGGACCCCTATAATTCAAATGTTGGTATGTTTACTATTGTCTCAGAAGTCTCTGAGACGGTCCTCATTTCTTTCCATTCCTTTTCCTTTATTTTGCTCCCTGGCAGTTATTTCCACCATTCTATCTTCCAGCTCACTTATTTGTTCTTTCTCAGTTTTTCTGTTATTGATTCCTTCTAGTATATTTTTTATTGCATTTATTGCGTTGTTCATCATTGTTTGTTCTTTAGTTCTTGTTGCTGTTGTTTGGTCACCAAGTTGTGTCTGATTCTTTGTAATCCCATGGACTGTAGCCTGCCAGTTTCCTCTGTCCATGAGATTTCCCAGGCAAGAACCCACTGGAGTGGGTTGCCGTTTCCTTCTCCAGGGGATCCTCCTGACCCAGTGATTGAACCCATGTCTCCTGCATCACAGGTGAATTCTTTATCACTGAGCCACGTGGGCTGCTAAAGTGGTAAGTCACTTCAGTCATGTCCGACTCTTTGTGACCCTAGGGACTGTAGCCTGCCAGGCTTCTCTGTCCATGGGAAAGATGTCCATTGGATTCTCTAGGAAAGAATACTGGAGTGGATTGCCATGCCCTCCTCCAGAAGATCTTTCTGACCCAGGGATAGAGCCTGTGTCTGTTATATCTCCTGCATTGTTTACCACTAGCGCCACCTTAGGTCCTTGTTAAACATTTCTTGCATCTTCTTGATCCGTACTTTGATTCTGTTTCCCAGATCTTGGACTGTGTTTACTATCACTCTGAATTCTTTTTCAGGGACATTGCCTGTTTCCTCTTCATTTATTTGGTCTTGTAGGTTTTTACCTTGCTTACCAACATATTTCTTTTTTTCACCTCATTTTTGTCTGACTTACTGTGTTTGTGATCTCTTTTCCTCAAGCTGCATGCTCCCAAAGCAGCTGCTAAAGCTAGATATGTCTCAGTTGTAGAGCACTTGTCCATTTAGATGTGCTGTAGACGCTCGGTTTACCAAGGTTATCGTGGGGTTTAATCCATGGTTTGTACAGCTGCACAGAGAGATTTCAGTCTCTCTTCTTTGGTTGCATGGCCCCTGGGCCTTCTGCTTTGGTTTTGACCCACCTCTGCATGTGGGCCACCCTTAGGCATCTGTTATCTGCCCAGGCAAGAGGCAGTAGAGGCAGTGACTGACTGGGGCAGGCTTGCTCACTAATGTGGGAAAGGCAAGAGGTGGTGACTGACAGGTGTGTGGGCTCAGCTCCACTGGGATTCCCTGTCTAGTGCCCACGGAGGCAGGGGCTGGTGTGTGGGGAGAGTCTACAATGGTGGCGCCACCCCTTGTGCACCACTCAGCAATGGCCCCTTGCTTCAAAGGCAGCCTGCACGTCCTCCAGGAGCATTCCTGGCTGCAGAGCCCCTCACTCCTCTCCTCTCAGGCTGTCTTCACGCAGGTGAGCTCTCTCTCCCATCCCCTTAGTCCGTCTTCATATAGCCAACAGCAGTCCTCTCCATGGGTCCACTCTCCTAACTCCATGCTTCAGTACTCAGCCCCCATCAGCAGTGGTGGATGTACGTCTCAGGCTGGGGCATGCAGGGCTGTAGCACAGACCATCGGTGCAAGTCTCCCTCTGTCCTGCCCAACACAGAGCAGCTGCTGCACTTTCTTCTAGTAGCCCCTGAAGCTCCCCTCTCTATTTTGGCATACCTCACTGGTGGTGAGGGGGCCTCCCTGGTGTGGTAACCTCTCCTCTCCTTCAGCTCTCCACCCACCAGGGATGTGACCCATCTCATTTCCTTCTTTTCTTTTTCTCTCCTTTCTCTTTTTTGTTCTACCCATTTATATGAGGATCTTTTCCTTTTGAGGTCCTCTGCAAGTGTTCAGCAGGTACTCTGTGTGAATTGTTCCACCTGTAGATGTATTCTTGACATATGATCAAATTGTTTATGACTAAAATAAGTTTAAACAACTTTTCTTTACTACAGAATCTCTCAGAACTATGTGCCACGTGCATGTGAACCAACAAGAATGTGACATTTCCTATACTCATTTGATCTAGAGCCCCTTTTCCAACAACATTTGAGGGAGTAATGCTCTGTCAAACACTCTCCAGGAAATGCTGCCATGGAATTCTCGACATTTCCTGTTGAATAAAGCCAATAAATTGGCTCTGTGCTTTTTATCAACCATTTGCAAGGAGGAAAATAAAGTCAGTTAAATAGTTCACACTGTGCTTAAGATAAAACCAGATAAATCAACCTGGAGAATCCCACACAATAACTTCCTGAAAGAATAAAAATGTAATGAATAAGATGTTCAGTTTCTCTATCAGCTCAGTTGTGTCCAGCTCTTTGCAACTCTGTGGACTGCAGCATGCCATGCTTCCCTTTCTATCACCAACTCCTGGAGCTTGCTCAAACTCATGTCCATCAAGTGGGTGGACTCTATACATACTGAAAAATTGTGCTGAATTCATTCTGTTTTTAAAACATCTTTTAAAAAATTATCTATTTTTATTTTTTTGGCAGTACAATGTGGCATGTAGGATCTTAGTTCCCAGACCAGGGATCAAACCTACACCACCTGCGTTGGAAGCTCAGAGTTTTAATCACTGGACCACCAGGGAATTCCCTGTATTCATTCTTATATGATCTTTCAGTATAAAGGAAAGTCATACTACCAAAGGATAATGATTATACTATAATGAAGTAATAAAATATACTACTGGTATGTATATATATCTGTGTGTGTATGTGTGTGTGTGTGTTGTGTGTGTGTTTCCTGATCTGCCTTAATCTAGAAATAGATTTACTGTGTCTGGAGGAACACTCTGAGTCAAAAAGTTTTCTGAATAGTTGTTTGTTGGCCAGTTAAGTTGCTGAATTGTGTCTGACTCTCTTTTGACCCCATGGACTGTAATGTCCTGGGTTCCTCTGTGCATGGGATTTCCCAGGCAAGAATACTAGAGTGGATTGCCATTTCCTTCTCCAGGGGATCTTTCCGACACAGGGATCAAACCCATGTCTCCTGCATTGGCGGGCAAATTCTTTATAACTGAGCCACCCGGGAAACCTTGTTGGCCAGTTTAAATGTCATTATATATAGTTGAATAATGTCATGATGGATAGTTGAATATGTTTTGTAATATAGGTGAAGTAGTTTGAAAAACTGCTTCTGACTCTACTCAGACATTTGCATCTACTAACACCTTACTTGGCTTCCCTGGTTGCTCAGATGGTAAAGTGTCTGCCTGCAATGCAGGAGACCCGGGTTCAATCCCTGGGTTGGGAAGATCCTCTGGAGAAAGAAATGGCAATCCACTCCAGTACTCTTGCCTGGAAAACTCTATGAAAGGAGGAGCCTGGTAGGCTACAGTCCATGGGGTCGCAAAGAGTCGGACACAACTGAATGACTTCACTTTCACTTTTACTTTCCACCTTACTTGGCTCACAGATGAACTATGGGATCACTGGTAGCTCACCAGCCATGAGGTGGCAGAGCAGAGATAGGGAATCAGGTGTGTCTATGCAGAGATGTTTGCATCTGTTCTATTACCAGACTTCCTCTTTAGCTTTGGGAGAGTGGCTTTAGCCATTTTTCTTTATTTTGTAGCTCCTGAAATCTAGATGTAAATAGCCAAAGAAAGGCATGCAGAAAACCATCAATAACTCCAAGATATTAAACTCCATGTGATTCGTTTTGCTCAGGTGATATGTAAGATGCTTTGACACTGTGGATATATGTTAAATGCCCTTGCGTAAGTGCAATACAGTGGAAAAAGCCAGGTGATTTGATAAATGGCCTCTTTTTTCATCAACAAAGGCTATCGGATTATTCTTGTTTCAGAAATCTCATGGTCAACAGGAAGCGCTTCATGTGTTATCACGATATCAGTTTAACTGATCTGCCTACCTTCAGAATAGAAGGTACAATGTAAACCAGGAAAGGAAACCATCTGCTTTATCTCTAAGGAACTCGTGGTCAGAGCCACACTATCTCTTTTGTCTCCCTTTCTGATGCCACGAAACCCTCACCTGCAGGAATTTATGCTTTAGGTCTGTGTCAGTGGTTTTCTACTACTGTCGGTTTTGCCACTCAGGGGCATTCGGCAACGTCTGGAGGTGTCATGGTCATCGCACATAGGGGGTGTGTTTGGGGTGGGAGGGTGGGTTGTACGGGCATCTAATTTAGTGGGCATCCTACAACGCAAAGGACAACCTCACAACAAAGAATGATCTGACCCCAAATGGAAATAATGTTGGTGTTGAGAAACTCTAGTCTAACCTAAGTCTTCTCCACTATAATTTAAGGCCCTTTCCTCAAGCTTTACCCAGCAAATGAAATGAAAAGCCAATGGTTAATTCAGTTCACCCAATAGTCTTACGCTCTAAACAACACAATAGCAAAGTGTATGGTACAGACTCATTCGTCTTTAAAATTTAATAACCTTTATTTTGAAATCTAATTCTTAATTACCCCTTGAATTTCTCTTCCTAGGGCCAAATAACTGCAATTCTTGAGACTGTTTGTTCATTTATCATTGATTCATTCAACCATGTATTGAATGGCTACTCTGTGCTGTACGGTGTTAGGTAGTAAGAATTCAAAGGCGAAACCTTATTGTTTTCAGGAATCTCACTCTTAATGGGGAGAAATGATCACAATGTCAGATGATTAAGTGCTTTGGGCTAAGAATTTGTGTTGCATTCAGGATTTTGTGGAAGCATGAAAGCTGAAGTGATGAATTTATTGTGAACATTTCAGGAAGGCTTTAAAGGAGAAGTAACATTTGAGCTGAGACTTGAAGGATAGAAGTTTGCAGGGTGGATACAGTTTGGTGAGAAAGGCAATGAAAGCACTATTTTAAAAAATATTAAGCTCTACTCATCATATACCAAGGCTTAGACACCCATCATGTCTGAAAAGAATACGCATAGTTACTATCATCATGGGGGTTATTAAAGGAAAGTCAAAAGAAACCCTCCCCTGTAATGCTTGTATCACAGTTTATATGAACTCTGCCACCTTCCTTTTCTCATTTGAGCCCCTTAACATCCCTGTGTGGAAAGTAAGGCAGATATTACCTACTTCCATTTTATAAAGAAGGACCGTGAGGCCAAGAAAAACAAAGTGACTCTTCCACCTCCAACCACTAGCTATAGATCTAGTAAATGGCAGTGGTCTGACCCCCAGTCCTGTGCTTTTCTACTCTCCCTTGGTTCCAAATGCAATTTCCTGTGTCAGATAGGCAAGCACACTTCTTTCTACCCCCTTCTTTGCCCTGCTATCTTCGTCTCTGTCTTAACTTCTGTTTTCTGCTGGCCCTGTAGTTGGAGGTTTTTTAGTCTTCCCAGTTCTGATTGCTGAGGGACTGCCCAGGGAAGGAAGGAATGAGAATCGCTCTCCTGCCACTGTCTACTTGCAAAATTATTTCTACCTCAATTTCCCAGATTTTTTGAGGAATAAGAAAAACTGAGATGTGGAATAGAAAATCCCTTTTGTTTGTCTTGGTGTTTGATAATGTATGCAACCTCTCTGGGTGGTTTAAGCGGTTTAGGTACTTTCTATAAAAGGGATCTTTTAATGACAAAACTAATGTGATTATCTGAGTGAGTGTGAGAGGCACATTCAAAGCTTAAAGAAAATCTGTTAGAATAGCTGAATGTATCTGCTTAATCCCTTCTCTAATGTGGCTGAACAATGCTCTGGGAAGCCAGTGGTCCGTCCTTTCTTCTAGTAAATGCCTGTCTCCAGAGGTAGGGACTGTTTGCAGCTTTTGATACCCTTACGCTTCACCTTCTCAGCTTCACAAAAGTGCAGGAAAAGCCTGGAGGAGCCCAAAGCACTGCGAGAAACCAAGTGTCTCCTGGATGCTGAGGGCGGGACACACAGCACACACATGCTTTCTCCACCAGCCTGTGGAGAAGTGGTGGCTGCAGTAACCAGCGGGAATGGCATCTTGGAGAAGGGCCCTGTTCCTGGTGTCTGCTTTCCTTGAATGCTGGGTGAGGGATCATTTGGGGAAGCTTAGTATCTTATACCTGACTTTTTTAAGAGTGGTTGAGTTACTCCTATGGGGAGGGTGTGAGGTGGGGGTGGGCAAGGGAAGCATAAGAGGGGAGAAAAGTGATAAATTTGGGGTTCTGCTAATTGCTCTGTGAATTTGGAGCAAAATTAAAGTTCTTTCTCTCATTTGTAAACTCAGAATAGCAATATCTGCCACATTAATTCACTGTGAGAACCAAAGTGAAAACGTGAACTTGGAAGTGAAAATGTCACAGCCACTCTAGAGTATGATCAGATCAGATAACATGTTGTACACTTATAAAAAATCGTACTTTATTTAAATTTCAAACCAGTCAACCCTAAAGGAAATCAACCCTGAATATTCATTGGAAGGACTAATGCTGAAGCTGAAGCTCCAATACTTTGGCCACCTGATGCGAAGAGCTGACTCATTGAAAAAGACCCTGATGATGGGAAAGACTGAGGGCTGAAGGAGAAGGGGACGACAGAGGATGAGATGGTTGGATGGCATCACTGATTCAATGGACATGAGTTTAAGCAAACTCTGGGAGATAGTGAAGGACAGAGAACACTTGTGCTGCAGTCCATGGGGTTGTAAAGAGTTGGACACAACTTAGCAACTAAACAACAACAATTTAAAGTATT